TTTAATTCCATCTTTCCTCTCCCTTTTGCCACACGATACATTCACAAACGTGCATAATAACACATTTAACCAAAACGAAACAAACCAAAAGAATTGTATAACAAAAATGTAAAGTCAAATATTTTTCATTATAATATTATTATAAATTTAGCTTTGTTTATTCGAAAAACCTCTCCTTGTATTCGTAAATTCTCCCGCGGTTGCATTTTGCTCTCTCCCCGGTCACTTGGATTAAGTGACCGAAAGCCAGGACATACGGACGTACTGGCACATTTGGCGTTAAAGTGCACCTTTGTGGCACACTGATCCAGTTTGGACCCTTTAAACTAAAAGTATGTTGTGAGTCCGCTTAGCGGAGCATGAGTAGAGGTTTCCACTTCGTCCTCTATTCGATCCCCGACTCGTTAGGAGCCTCAGGACGAAGCGAAGTGCCTCTCGATTTGCGTCGGTCATCCCCACAGCTCCCTTGCGGTCCGGAGTCTGGACACGACCAAATTGGTCTAATACTCTTGTTACGTTCACCTCCTTAGTTCCATGCGTATGGAGGACGTAGCAGTATTACACGAGTCATAAAAAAGCAACATTAATAGATATTCTCATGCAAATAACGTAATTTATGCGATTCCTACTTTTACAACTAATATAATTTGCGTAATTAATAATTTAATTAATTTTTCATTTTTGTGATATATTATATTTCGTAATATGATAAAAAATTGTGTATAACTTTGAAATAATTTATCAGTAATAAAAGAAATATTTCTCTATTTTATTAATCCCTAAGTCCATTTCATTAACTCTAATCATATCTTACACGTCGTAATAAGAGATTCAATCCTTTTATCTACTCTGAATTTATTTCGCATTGATGATAAATTAACATGTTTTTGATATTCATTTCTAAAAGTCAACCGATAAAATTGCACAGTAGTATAAATAATAGCTGTATGTTACATTTTTCAGATGATATCTTTCCTCTCGCGGGTACGATCTTGACGTAGTGAAAGGGTTCAGTATCCAAAGGATATACACGAAAAAAATGGCTTTTTTCAAGTATTTAAAAATTCTCGGATTTATTTGAATGATATTTAGATGAATTTTTAGATATTGAGTAAAATCGTTCTCTTTGTGAAAAAATCCAACGACGAGGAAACTAACGTACGTCGCCGATTAAATTGAAAATGACTGCAGCCGGTTCGTAGCATCGCGCGTTTGCTTCGGGAATGCCGCTGAAGTTATCGGACTAATGAACTTTTCACAAAACCCATTCGATGGAATTCTAATTGGATGATGGAATCATATCATGTTTCGACAGGAAAGCGGAACTCTCATTGAGACGTTTCTGAGGTGATCACGGTCATTGCAACGCTCTCAAGCCAAATGCCCTCCGGGTACGATATACCAGCCGCATAATATCACTTCGCATGTACAATATTCGCGTGGTTTAGCATCTATTGTTGTTGTCGGTTAATTAAGGACATGCTCTGTCTGTCGACAAGCGGTTCGGCCATTAGCAGTAAGAAGCGATCGATTGACTCGGATTCGTTTTGGCCTGTATTCGGTAACTCGAATTATGCAATCATTATGAGCACATAACGATTGTATAACGAATTACAGAATTTTGCTGGTGGATCGCCCAAAAAGAAGTATAATTTTGGTCAAGGTATATAATCTGAATGATTCTTTAATATGACTTGGTCAGAACCTAGTTCTAGTAGTCTTTTTTTAAAAACTATATATATATATATCATAATATCAGGATTTTTCTTCTATTTATTCTTAAGTTGTTTTTTTTTAATGATTTAAAAATAATTTGAAAATGATAATTATAAAAAAGGATTATTTTAAAATTATTTTGAAATTTTATAAGTATGTATTTTGTAAGAAAAAAATGTATAATTATTTTTATAAATATAATTGAATAGTGAATTAAAAAATTGCTTTTAAAAAAATTATATACTTTAAACATTATATGATTATTTTCAAGAAAATTTTGCATTTAGCAAATATTTTTTAAAATATTGATTGATTTTTTGCTCTGTTTTAATTTGGATTTTATATTCTTTTCGTTACAGAATCATCGTAGGGACGTTGCAGATATAACTCCGCTGTTGCGCATGAGGTTGATGAGTGATTAATGTTTTTATTGAGGTAACTTATGTGTGGTAATTTTCATTAAAAAACTATATATTTATAAATGCATATATGCATTAATTTAATACAAATATATGGATAAATATATGTATAGCATTTCATACATTCGTTGTCTTAAAATGGATATTAGAACAAATTAGGATAAACTTAATCCTGGAAGTAACTCAAGCTCGGTTTGATACTAATTGTAATTAATTCAAGCTCAGAAATATAATAAAAAATACATTGTTTCGATAGTAATTTTTTAAACAATATTAAAATAATACATCTTGACACATTTGGAAATAAAAATAAAAGAGGATAAAATATTCGTTTTTCTAAATATATGAAATACATAAAATACAATATCTAAAGTTTATATAATAATTAGAAAATATTAGGGCTAGGAGGATTGTTCCACCTTTCGGTAAACTTTGGCTCACTGTCTTTTACTCTTTTACTCTTTTACTCTTTTATGCTTTTGCTCTTTTGTTTATCCAGTAAGTAAATTACATAGTTTAACTGAAGATCGAACAATCGGCCTTAAATGAAATTGTTATCTTTGAATATCATAACATGGAAAAGCATTTGTTACAGTGTAACAAACAAATATTGTTTTATTAATTTTCTTATTTATCTTATTCCCAAATATTCATTCAGGATTAAGTTTTACAAGTTGGTGCAGAAAAGCAATATCTACATACACATATATTAGATCGCCAAGAAAAAAAAATTTTTTTTTATCGGCCGCTTAGTTCAAAAGCTTCCATTTTATCAAAAGAACGTCCCAAAATTTTTATCAAAAAATATTAAGGTTTAGAGGTCGCAAAGAGTGAACAATTTTTAAATCAAAATTTCAATTTTCCTTAATACATGTTTGGGATCTCCTCAGTTAAAAGGCTTGTACGAATTATCGCAATCTGCAAATGCGCTGTGAAATGTTTTCAGCGATTGCCGACGGAATCGATCGCAGTCGATCTATTGTTTCACATTTGTTTGTATACATGTTACTGATAAAATAATAACATGTTTCTGGTGAAATAATAACGAAAATTTTAATGTAGCGCATATAATTTATTGATTTCGCTTTTTTATAAAAAACATTTTACAATTATTAATTATTATTGTTTATTTCAATGCATAAACTTTAGCCTGATCTTTTATAACCTAATATACTTATCCATATGTAGTAACTGGATTTTATACCAATTACAGTAACACACACATGATGTAAGCTCCAATATACATTTTATTAAGAAATAGAAGAATTTTATCTCAGAATTAAAGCTGGGATTATATGAAAATGCATATTTTATATTATTAATATGAATACAAAACGATTTGCGTATCTACACGAATGACGTAAAGGCAAAGCGTTAAAGCCTACTTTTATTTGGCATATTTTGCATATATGTATCATTTTGAGCATTTCTTGTAAAATTGCATATTTGCTCATATTTCTTGTAAAATTATATATTTATATTTTGTCAATTATGTTATTGATTATTGAAATATTATACATATATGTATGATCAAGTCCATTGAATGATTCCATTCGTGCGAGTACTAAATCGCTGAAGTACTTGTAAATGTAAAGTAGACCATATATTATTGAATATACTCAGTAAGTATTGGTTGATAACTAGCTCGGCAGATATGTGCGATGCGCGATGCTCCCTCAATTGTTCGCCGAATGTCTCCTGATATGTTCGACCATGTTTGACCTCCCTAAAAGATAATATTCAGTGCAGCTAGCCAGTTGAAATGGATTAATTGCACTAATAATTTATCATATTTTTGAAAATATTTCTTTCTATGCTTTTCATTTAATAAACGTACATATATATTTTGCATATTTTTATATTATTTCTTAATATTTGCAAATAATTGACTTAATCTAACATAAATGAAATTTAATAAATACTTAAAACTATATAATTATAAATTATAATTACATATTTTTAAATATTTATTAAATTACATTTATGTTAGATTAAGTCAGATATTGTTTGCATTATTAAATACATATTTTATAACATACAAGTATTATTGAATTTTACACTATATCAGAATGTAAAATTCAATTTCTTTTGTCTTATTTCCCCGGACTTGCGATCTAATCTTATCCCGCATTACCAGTAAAGCCTCTGCCCATAGGCAGATAAGCAATCCGGACTTACTGATCTGTAGGTATCGGCAGCACCCCTACATACACACACATGCATATTTGGGAACCAATCAGAGAAGAGAATCACTATCCGCTCCATTCTCCCTTGATTCTCTCTAATATATCATAAGCACGTGTGAAACGGAAAAAGCATCTAAAATTAACTTTTCTTCTCGTTGTCCAAATATAGTATACCTGTTCCACTTTAAGCACAAAAGTGTATGCTAGATAAACTATAAAAAATAGACCTTCCCTCACAACACAATAGTTCTTCAAGGAATGTTTAAGAACAGTCTTCGGTCCTAAGAACGTCTGCCCGAAGAACTTTCTCGAAGAACTATTGTTGGGTTGTCCATTACATCTTTTGTCTACAGAATGAATTAATAGTTATATGCAGATTTGGTAAAGAAAAAGCGAAAGAAAAACGAGTGTAGAAAATATTACGTTGAACTGAAAATTGTTAAATCGAACAAAAAGAAATCGAAGTAGAAAAAAATGACTTTGCGCATACTAATTTCGCATTTATTGCGTTACTATCTTTAGGTTATAACTGATTCAAACATTACAAATTAAAATTGTAGTCACATTTCTCGTCACAGCTATCTTACCAGCGGTTGCTATTATCAGCGAAAGAAAATAATTTATTTATTGGTTAATAGAGATTTTTTTTTATGAAGTTATCTTTCGATTATTTTCTATTTCTTTGTGCAGGAAAACTTCGCGCGTTTTTTTTTTGAATTTCGTTCTATTTGAATTTGTCACATGATATCGGTCGATCAATGAGGTAATACCATCCGCGTTTTCTTTTCCGCCATTACCGATCGTGACATTCCAGTAGTATTCGTGGCGCAATAGTTTCTTCGTGTCAGTTTTGTAAAATTTTTTCGAACGTCGCTCGTCGATTATGGATATCTGATTCAATCTCCTTCGTTTCTTGTTCGGCGAAAAGGTATTATTCGTATGTTCATATATATGATTAAGATATTAAATGATTTGTTGGATTTTATGAGTTATTGAGATATTGATCGTTTTCTGTTCACCCATGTAGGTTTGCGGGCGCACGACACACACACATGGTTGCCATAATGCAGTTATCCAGAAAGAGAGCAACGAAATTAGTGAGTGCTTAGTATTTCTGTGTTGAAAATGTTTATTTTATTATATAAGTATCACGAAATATAATTGGTATGCTACGCAAAAGCCTTGTACTCCCACATAATGTACTCTAAATAATGCGGCATTTTACAAGTATAATCTCTTTCTCTCTCTCTCTCTCTCTCTCTCTCTCTCTCTCCCTCTCCCCTCTCTTTCCTTATCTCCCTTTCCTCCTCCCCTCTCTCTCTCTTCTAATTTTGAGGCTGACTTTGCGAAATCTCAATTCTAATGTGATTTATGTTTATTTCTGTTTATTCAACTCACTTTTTATCTATTTCTAATTTTAAAAATTAGAAAAAGATAAACAGTAAGTTAATCCAGAATTAAAGTTAATCTACATTGATAGTAATGTGTATTAGTTAATTTATTTCTCGATCGCAAAGAGAAGCAAGCTCAAATCTATTTTATAATTTTTTAATTAGAGTTGATATCAAATAGAAAAATCGAGTACGAATATATTTATCAATGCAAAAACTATACTTAATAAATAGGCATTATAGCGAATATATCGAATTTGATTAATTAAAATGAAAAATCTATTTATTAATTCAATATAATACTTATTCATTTCGAGTGAACATAAATAGTTTAATTGATAAATATATTCCTAGTCATCAATATATTTGTATTCGATATTGACAACTCTATTCTAAATGAAAGTTTAGATATCGTTGTAACATCATTGTGCAGATATAATATATGGAAAAAAAGCCAAAACGGAACGACGTTATAACAATAATGAGATTTTCGTTCAAGAGTTACAGAATAATTTCGCAGTCTATCACTTTTTCTCGCTTTTGTTATTCGCAAGCTTAAAAACCCGACACCCAAGTAAATCATGTATCTTTTGATCAGGACACGCGACATATTCGTTTGAATTTATTAGCATAGCTTGTATCTGTCTTAAAATATTCGAAAATTATTACGTTATTTATAATAAATATTATAGTGTGTTCACACAAATTATTTTATATAAAGATAAAACATTATCAACATTAAAGTGTTTTCAAGAATGAAGACAATAATAGAACTGTATATAATATGATTCAATGATTTCCAAGTATGTGAATCGTTACAAGAAAATGCGTTTTGTCTAAGACCTCCTACAGGCCGGTGTGTTGTCCATGGAAGTAAATTCTCATGTAGCTAAAACGAAATCGAATGCAATTACGCAAGTATAAGTATTTTTGAACTAAATAAAATAAAAATGTTGTGTGACATTTCCTTCTGTTGTTTCAACAATCTCCCGGGAGATTGCCTGGTTAGCTCGTAATTGCATTCGATTCTGTTTTTAATACATGAAAATTTATTTCCATGAACAATACGCTTGCCTGTAGGCGATTCAGATTTTAAATAAAATATATTTTCTTATAACAATTCACATTACACTATTAAAAAATTAACTTTAATTTGAGATATCGTTTTCTTATTTTAAAAATGTTAGTTAAAAGAACTAACTTTTTTCAGAAAAAGAGAAAAACTATTTTTAAAAGAAAATTATTTACTGATCAAATAATAATGGCAAAAAGAACGTACTTTTAGAAATAGGATTCAATTTCATTTTTATCATTTTCGTTTTACAATCTTTAAAAGCCCATTTTTTTAAATTGTGACGATTTTGATATTCTATATAAAATTATAACAAATCCAGAATAATTAATTAAAAGAGACATAATTCAAAATATTATCAATAATTATATTTATTTGGTTTAACTAAAATGACTAAATTTAAAATAAAATAATTTCTTTTATAAATTTTGATCTTCTTAAAATTCTTTATACAATTCTTTATACTCTCTTTGTTATTTACAAAAAACGATACAACTGAAAATGTGTCATTTTTTAGATAAAGGAACGATATTATTTATTAAGCTTTTAAAACAATTTTTTAAACAACTTTTTAGATATTACATTATTTTATACTTATCGTCGCTGAATGGAAATATAGAACGGACTTGTTTGCATAAAAATTATAATAGGAAATAATAAGAAATAGGAATTAAATAACATTTTTGTTCTTGATTTTGAAAATTATCAAGCCAACGATCGCGAATTGAAAAATTGCAAAAATTAGGAATCTGTTAGGAATTTCTAAAAATATTTATTAACTGATGCTAATTTCGCAAATAGTCGACCAGCAATAATGCGAATTCTTTTCACGTAAATTCGTAGGGCACTCTCGCGTTCTTTTTTGCCGTATCACGCGGTGCTTCGCTGAAGTCTCGATTCTTCTCTTTTGTGCCTGTCAACTGCATTGGCCACGGCCGAGTTTTCGATTCCTGTGGAATCCTTTCGACCACGAAATAAGACGCGGCAGAATGAGTCGCGATAGGAAATTTCTCGGACAAGTTTTATATCGGGATCACGAATGCATGTCCCGAGGGGTATTCTCGCGTGTTCTTTCGTAGGGGCGGATTACTAACTTCTTGGGGATTGAAACTAATAATTGAATTGATTACTATAAGAAAAGACATGATCACAGATAAACTTGATCACGAATAAATCAGAAAACTTTATAATTTTTTTTGCAGGAGCATGTTGCATAAATTTTTAAAATATACAACTGGCAGAAGCATTCTAGCAATTTTTTTTGGCGTACAATCTGAATTTAGCAAAATTATACGAATTGCGATTTCGTAAAGTTCGGAGTTTATTGTAATTGACGAAAAGAAAAATTTTTCGAAGAAGAAAAAGTTTTCGCAGTTAAGATCAAACTTCTTTTTTTCCTCTGTTTTATTTAGATTTCGAAATTCTACATAGGCGAGCACAGAAATCACAGCTGTACTAATTTTTTTAAATAATGATTGGCGTGTTATTTTTTTATTTAGATGTCGATAGAATCAGAAATGCAATCCACTCTGAAGTTATGTTACTTAAATTTTTCTTACCTATCCATCTCGTTAGCTTTTACGCAGAAATTCGTCGCTGTGCTTGCGCAGGTGCAAGCATCCTGTGACATGCATACGTATGGTCGGAGCGCCTTGTATGCATCACGTATCGCTTTAGAGGAGAAAAAAGGAAGGAAAGGGAGAGAAAATACCGATTGAAATCGCGTACGGCGCTGCGGCAGCGGGTCCATGCTATTGACAGACCGTCTTTTATAGATATGTGCATCGCAATTCTTCCGCAATTTTACCGTACCCCTTTTGGAACTCCTTTTTCCACAACCCGACGGCGGCAATCCGACATTCGATATCGCGCTACCATCACCCCCTTTATCTCACCATAGTCTTTTCATTTTCCTTCTTTCCCGCTCGGTTTAGCCGACAAGGCTTCGTGCTTGTTCCCTGCAAATGCATCTTCAATTCGAGGATTTTTATATAACAGTATTTTTATACTATAATATATTTGAATATTTTATATATAACTGTTATTTAATATTAACGTAATAGATATAATTAATTTATTATGTAATTACTCAAAGATATATATATATATATTATCCTGTTATTTCGACATTTATACACAGTTACTTATACTTTGAGACGAGAACATGAGTTTTTCATGATTCTAGTTATTTTTAGTAAGAACATTCTATAGAATATGACACAATTTTCATATACATTTGCATTTATTATAGAAGCTTTTTTATTAATAGAATTGTACTCAATTTTAGTAATGAGAAATTATATCTTTAGATTCAAAATTATTACAATTTTAAAATGATTACAATCTGCTTAATAGTTAAAATGATTCGTATTTGATTTATTTTCTATTCATGAGAGATGACCATAGTGATATTTTCGTTCGTTCTCCAAACCTACCGAGTGTGTGTCATCAAATTCAATCACTTGCAAACCCGGTTCCTGGTTTAGTCGTAGTTTTCATCGACGCCTCGTCGCTCATACGGAGTTTGCGCGAAAATTGCATTTTGGTCGTCGTCGTTGAGAATCAAGGCAAACGATATTTGATCTCGGACGGCATCGACTAGAGATGCGGACGATGCAGCGGACAGAGTGCACTTTGCGCTTTGCACACGAGATATGATGTGATTTAGCAAACGATTTTACATGAGAGATGCATTCGTCTTTTTAAATCTATTTCAAAGATCCTTCATATCAATCCTGTCATGTCCATTTCGGAGCGGATCCTACAGATTTTCGCGTTTGATACACACGTGGCAATAGAAGTAAAGAAGCACGCAAACGTAGAATGCTTATATTCTTTCTTACAGACTTTCTTTCTTATATACTTTCTTACACATACAAAATTAGTCATTTTCTTCAAATTTTTTAATGACTTTATTCAATTTTTAGAATTTAAAAAACCTCGGAATTAGAATTAAGTTTATAAGTAGGTTATAGGAGCAATTTCTATATTTTGGAAAAAAAGGAAGAGAGAGAGAGAGAGAGAGAAGCCTATATTTCTGAAAATATCTACACTCTATAGATAAACTATTGATTTTGAATCGTGCAGCGGTACGCGGCTAATTGGATTACTGAACAGGACATTAATTGCTTTAATTATTATTCCTATAGATATTCTCAATGACGTTTGAGATTAGAATTGATATCGCATAGTGGCAGTTTTCCGATGACCCATATTATTTTTCTCGCGGAATCAAACAGTTTTACAACACACGGTTTATGAAACATAATCGAATTATCTCACCCATACACTTACGCTTTATTGTTGTACACCAATGCATACGCCCAATTGTTATACACCCAATTGCGTGCTTGTGAGCGCCATGGCCTATAAGTAATTCATTTATCCGTAGCTGCGCCAGCGACACACAACAATGGCGTTGCAAATGAAAAACCATTAAAAAGCATTAAATGCACTGTTTTCATCGCGATCGCGATCAAGTGACGTGATTCGCGCATACAGTAGAAAGAAAGACAACGAACAATATCGAGGTTTAATTTAAAAGCGAAAGGCTATTTTAGATCAAAGAGTGTTCATCAATAAAATATTATATTTTACATTTCATCAATAAAATATAATATATTTTATATTTTAT